ACACACACACACACACACACACACACACAATTAGGCAGGTTGTGTTAGAAAACACTCCAATTATCTGTGGAAATTTCTTCTAGCAAGTCACGTGGACGAGATGAAAATAAACATTAGATTACGGTAATTTGTGGACACACCTGTTCAGGGCTTGAGGCAAAACAGGGCGTGTCACCTTTCCCTTCCCTGCCGCCTCCATACCTTTTGCCACTGGCGCCGCTTTTGCCATCAGCAGAGAAGCGGTGCTGGTGTAAGTGCAAAATTTGGACGAGATCTCACATGATTTCAGATACAAATTCAGCTGACAGCAGTGGCAGGGAGCCTGTGGGGCTGCTACCTTGGGGTCTTCTGCAACCTGAGGCTGCCACCTCAGACTGCCTAATGGCAGAACTGGCTCTGCACCTGTTAATTGTCAGTTGATAGTGCCAAGGTGTTATACAAGATGTTATAAAGAATGTCCCACAAGTCATCAGATGAGCAGAAGGACTTGACTGTTTTTCTTTTCTTGTGTACATCTACTGATACATTAGGTAGTTCTTTTGCCCAGTATTTAAATGCACTAGTACCTTATAATTTATCTCTCTCTCTCTTTTGGTGGGGGAAAGAGTACAGTGGAGAAGGAAGTATTTGGGATCCATCCAAATGGAAAGTTGCACACAGAAATACAACCAATCAATTCAAGTACAGGAATTGAACTATGCATAGGCCACAGTGAGCTGAAAAGTTAAAAAAATATTTATTGATACTAAAACAATGAATTGAAAGTTATACAAAAATTGTCCAGCATAGCATCTTCTAGGAGCCCTTTTAACCTGTAAAATAAATTAAAAAAAACAAACACACAAAACAGCCTAGAAATCTCAAGCCTAAACTAAAGTTAATGGCCAAAGGAAACTGGAAGATAAGACATCACACAAGAGAAGCAAGCAAAGCCAGCCAGCCAGGGTCAAGCAAACAAACCCCAAATGGAGCAATGAACCCACAGTGAGATCAATGGGCAGACATTGCTTTCAGCCTTATTTAATATTCTGGCTGGAAAGTCTGTCCCACTCTAACAAAGAACCTAAGCTTTCCCAGGGTAATAACATCTCCAACTTTTGTTCTCTTAGCATAAAAGCAAAGGAACAGCTCTAGTTAAAGCAATTAGAAAATGTCATACAAGAACTATTTGGCTTTTTTAAAAAATTAAGCAAACAGTGATTGACACACATTACAAAAAGCACAGAACCAATTCTCACAGGTTTCCTTCTTGTAAAAGCAATTCTTCTTGAATGCAGAACTGGTACACTGAATATTATAGGAACGTGAACAGCAAAATATAAAACTAAATCGGTTTTGTGATTTTTTAAAATTTTATAGTTTTGGTACTGTGCATACTACACCTTTAACCAATTGACTTAAAACGGATAACTTCTTCCAGTCAATGCAAAAAAGGAACTTAATTATTCCAGATGAAAAATATCCATTTGATATACAAATACTGTAGCATTATTCATGGTTTTTTATTTTTAACAAAAACTCTTCAAAAATTGAGAAAGTAGTGACAAGACTTTAAACAGCAGTTTGCCACAGAACTAATATACTCAAGACACATAGCAGCAAACCTAAGAAAAATATATAAAGGTAGGCTTTGAATACTAACTTTATCAACTGGTAAACATGGTCAGCACCAATTTGCCACAACAGATTAAACTGTATATGAATTCACAACTTGTCAACTAGATTCCCCCCCCCTTCTTAAATGTTTCACTTACTTCCACATTAAGCAACTGAATGGAGTCAACTCAAGTTGTCAGAAGAGTGGGTCACCTTGCTGGTTAGTAAGGCGTTTTCAAGATTACAGACTTTGGAATTGAAATAGCTGGTTAATAGAAAGGCACAGCATTAGAACTTCTAAGGTAAAGAGAGCAACAGGCTCGTCAATTTTCCAGGCAAGCTGTGGAATATAAGCTTGTCTACAATGGCAGTGTCTGAAGAGCAAAAGTCAAGAATCCCAAGAAAATTGTACAGAAGTTTGAAACAGACAGGGATGCCCCTCAGTAAGAGGAAATGGTTGTATATTTCAGGTTGTGTTGACAGAAGAAGCTTATCTAGAAAACCAACCGATGGCACAGGTTAGGTGCCTAGCAAAAGTTAGAAAAACAGGATGCACAGTGGCAAAATGGAAAATATACTGATGTAAGTTACAACACTGCAAGCTCTGTGTAACACAGGTATACACACATAACATAGAGAGGGTTTAAGAGATTATATTTGAGCCAGTAGGGTTTCTGGATGGAGGAAAAGCTCGTTTCTGCTCCCGAATTCTCAGCTGTATCAATGGATGTCATCAATTAACCAATACAGCATGCATGCTTCCCTCCCTTGTGGAAAGGGGATGGCCTCGGCAAAACAGGAGGCTGCCATGTCTTTCTAGCAGACAGCTGCCATTTCGATTAGCTGAAAGGGACAAAACAGCATGCACACTAGGATAGTATGAAGTCTCTCTCCTACAGAACCTTGGCCCTCTAAGGCTTTAATAGCCACCTCATTGTGGCAGAGGCAGCATCAGACTGCTGCCAACAAGCACACTTCTCCAGAAGGCACACTGCAGAAATCAAGATTCACGGAAACCAAGTATGTGGTAAACACTTGATGCACAGCAAAGTCAATGAGATAGCAGGCAATTGAAGTTTACGAAATCCCTCTCCGTGACTGCAAAAACAAGACTTGCCAACTGCACAACAAAGAACATGGCGACGTTTAGGACTCTAAGTCTGGGCCAGGCATTGGCAAGAGCTTTCAAATTATTGGCTAGTGGAGGTCCTTCAGCCTTCCAAATGGAGAATTCATTGGCTGAGCTTATACTAAGAGAGACCAACAGAACATACTGTTGTATTTTGGCACCCAGAAAGTGAGACATTCATGCTTTGCTGAGAAGAAAAACAAGACCCCTGTGTGCTAAGGCCATGTAGGCCCTGAGGATTAATCCTGGGGCAAAACAAAAGCACAACACAACAAATGAACAGAAGTGGCCATTATAAAACAGGGCTCCAAGTGTCTTGAAGCAGATATTCTAAAGCTATAGGGCAGGAATATGACCATAACGTCTTGCCCAATGGTTTAGAGCCTCTGCTTTAAGACACGAGTCCCTATTCTGCAAGGCCAACAAAAAACAAGGACACCTGAATGGAGAACAATAAATGGGCAGAGAAGTGTAGACCCTTGTGAAGTGCACCTGCATATTCAGAATAAATGCTTCCTTCCATTTCTGAGGCTATATACAAGGATGCTTTTCATTTAGAAGTTGACTTTTACGGTCACATTTACACACTACATTAGAATCAGTGACATCATTGTACATATCAGCCAAAGGGACTCTTTACTCTGGTCTGGGCAAAGTTCCTTAATGGAATCATACTGTTACTATAAAGTATGTTTTTAGAACCACTATTGTGCGCACTCTAGCAATTAGTACTTCAATCTCACCAAAACATAGAAAGCTTTCTGAACAATGTACAAGCCACCTATTTAGCTTCCTTCTGAAGAGAAGGTCCAATGCATCCACTGTCTAATACAAGTGTTCTGCCGGTGCAAGGATTCCTCCTTACCAGAGGGAACGGTCTCCCCTCTCCTCCTCCCAAGCACTATTCTGGGGGTTCTCCCAATTCTCGAGAGTGGATTTGGCAGGAAGGAGAGGGAGAAAGTCCCAGTGAGTTAGCGAGAGCCTTTCTGCTGGCTTCCACTAATGTAGTGGGTTAGTTGAATCCAGGCTAGTGTTTCTAACCAAAACTTAAAACTGCTCTTAAACAATCACTGCTTCATTATCAACCTGCACCTGGTTTATAAATGCAGTTACTTGGAAACAAAACCCATTGATTTCCATGGGATTTACTTCTGCGTAAGCAAGGTTGAATGAACCAACCTGCTTTAATATCCAATTCCATATGCAGCTGCAGTTAACCCAAGTGTAATCAGCACAACATCCTCAAAAGGTTTGCACCTTCCTTTCTCATCCTTATTTTATTTTAAGGCATATAAATATCTTTGTTTGGAAACTCATGTGGCAGTAGTGAGTAAACAGGAAAACTGGAAGGCCAAACCACTTCTTTCTTTTTTTTTTAAGGTCCAAAGGTTGCAAACTAGGGCCTGGGTGAAATTATGACAGTCATACGACCAACTAAGATGCAAACACAACCTGTTCAACTTTCAGAACAATTAAGCCTGGGACACACCCATTTGTCCTTGAGCAGCTCCTATAAACAAGTATTTTAATGTTCATACACCCTAGGATTATGAAAGCTACACAGCTGCATGTTCTTGTAACCAAGGTTTGAAAGCATTTCATTATAAATAATGGAGACCTGGAGAGGCTAACCCTTTTCACTGGCTGCAGTGTGGCCAATGCTCCCTTCACTTGCATGCACAGGCAGATGAAAGTAGACAGCTCCTCCCTGCCTCATTCTCCCAATCAGCTCAGTGCAGGGATAGGCAGCAGAGGCTCCCCTTGCCTTGCAAAAGTGCCTCTTCTTATTGCAGCACAGCACCATTCCAAGGTCTTAGGGCTGAGGAAACAAGTAGGTGGGCTCAGTTCCTGAGCCCAAAGACCTTCTTAGAATGGTGCAACGGCAGAGAATGAAATAGTGCCTTTGCAAGCCAAAGGCGCATACTGTATTTTTCGCTTTATAAGACGCACCCGACCACAAGATGCACCTAGTTTTTGGAGGAGGAAAACAAGAAAATATTCTGAATCCCAGAAGGCAGCAATCCCTCTTGCTGTTCTGGCTTCTGGAATAGCCGTGCGAAGCCTGCATTCGCTCCTTAAGAAGCACACACATTTCCCCTTACTTTTTAGGAGGGAAAAGGTGCGTCTGATAGAGCGAAAAATACAGTAATTTTTTGAGGACTGGCTGACTTTCCATAGCATGTCAGTGGGAACATCACAGCACCACAGTGGGGATCACCCCGGTAAAACAGTTTTTAATTTGCTTAACAAAAATGAATAATGCTAAATAGTTAGATTTTTTTTTTTTGGGTGTACAGAAAACCTTTGGTACAGAAAACTCACTGGCTAGCCACCCCTGATCTAGACATTCTCTGCTCCTACCCATTCCCCCCTCTGAGCATGCTATGGTCTTGGGATATGCTGAAGTCCTGACAAGCTAGAAGGGACACAAGTCAAATTCTGACGGAAATAAACAGGCTGCTCGGTGCTAGCGCAAACCTGGATTACAGGTTTGACCCATAGGAAACATCTATTTTGGGAGAAGCAAAACAGACTCAAACTGAGTCACATCTTGACTTCAGGCAAGTTCAGGCTCAACACAAATGTTGACCTCTCTGGTTTCAGTCACTGGTAAGCAGGAAAGGGTGATGTCACAACGAACCCTTCCTGTAACTACAAATCACAAGGAGAACTTTGACTCTGCATCATGTGTGTGAAGGCTAGTAATATATGATGCAGGGATGCCAGATCTACATGCAGCCCAAAACATCAGTAAGGGAGAAGAAAGCGGAGTTCCCCATCCAAGTGTTATATGCATGGGATGTTTTGTATCAAGCTTGCTAGCAAGAATGCAGAGGAAGAGATCGGTCCAATAGAAACCCTAAGGATCTGTTGCCCAAATACCAAATGCCCTCAGTTAAATTTGACTGGCAGATATCGGCAACATTCTCGCTCATCAAAACCTCAGGACTACAAAATGTCTACATGGAGTACTACTGAATGAACTCCGCTTCTATTTCTTCTCTGTGAGGAAAATATATAAATATGCATACACACCTACATATATACAGGGTGAGTCCTTTAAAAGAGGCCCCGTGGATATAGAGGACACATGTTCTTTTAAAAGACTCAACCTGTATAACCATTTATCACCAGTGCATGTATGGATTTTTGCTGCATGTTTGGAAGCCACAACTGGCCACGGCTTCATCATACATGTGCTTCCCATGTAATTTTTTTGCGGTGGGCAAAGTATCCCTCAAACACACCCCTGGTGCTAATAAGGAAAAGGAGGCTGGATTCCCCACTCTGAGCAGCTTCATGCAAGTGAAAAAGGGTGTCGTGTCGTGAGCTGACCTCAGAGACTGTTTTATTGGAATGATTTCCTGTACACTACAGCACAAGGGTTCCTAGATAGATCTGGTGCTTCCAAGGGCCAATGTTCAACCCGAGCCTTTTGAAGCAGCCCACTGCCAGTTTGGCCTTGCAGCAAGCAGCACCGTCAGACCCAGACCCAAAAGCTCTGAGGGCAATGCCCACTTCTACACCATCTCTTTAGCTTCCAAATCCAAGGCATCGACTTAAGGAAATGTAAACATCATTCTCGTTTCATATGCTCTCTTGCAGCCTCCTAAATACGCATTCGAGTTTAGATTGGGTTTCACTGTCCTAGGAAATGACAAGCTTTGAATGTGGATAGTTTGGTGGAAGGAATGAGGAATTTGTTTTCCTTGGAGAACACAAATGTTATTGTACTGGAGGGCTTGCTCTCCCCCCAACTTACCAGGCGGCTAGATCTCCATTACTCTCTGCCATTTCTAACTCATAAAGCTAAGAAGTCCCCAAGCACAGCAAAACCTGGGCTACCAGCCTTTGCCTGACCTCCTCTATAATGGCTGGTTTCAACAAGTAAAGCCATTCCTCTTGAGAAAGAGAGTCCCCCACTGCATCACATATAATTTGGCAGCTGAATTAACAACTTGGCTCCCAAGAAGAACCCACTGCATGCTTCAGGGAGTTTCCATAGATAAAACTACAGGCCCACAGAGCCTCCCAATGCAGAGTGACTGCGTCATAGCATATAGCTTATAAAGGGTGGGAGCAGCTGGGTTTTGTTTCCCCTTCTGGCATCCAAGGCAACAGTCAGGTAGAGTCAATGAGACAGGATGAGCGGGAGGGAAACCTATCTTCCCCCTGCATGCCTCCGAGCTCAGTAATGTCTAAGATTAAAAAAGCCAACACTGGTTGGTGATTCCTTGACAGTCACTGTGATCAGGTTAGCTGTCACGTCTGTGACAAAGACGTGCTCGATGAGGCTGCGAGTGGGCTTCCAGTCCTGGCTAGTCTGGACGGAGACAGACATGTTCTGGCCTGCTCCGGGGCAAGAAGAAGAATCTCTGTCTGAATCCGAGCTTGTCTCCTCTTCTCCGGTGCTCATCTCAGAGAGGGCCGAAGCCTTGTGGTTCTCTGCTGCGGGGCACCCCTCCTGGGCACACGGGGGCTTGCCGCTTTTCGCGGCTGCATCTCTCTCGCCCACAGCTGCTCGTTGTGCCGGCTTCTCGCTTTTGCGAGGGTCTGCGCCTGCCACCGCTGCCCCTGCGTTTGTGGCGTTTGAGCCGCTGCCAGGCCCGGCACTGCCCTTGCTCACACCTGTGCTCACAGCCAGGCTGCCACCGGTGCCCTTTGCCACAGTCCCACAAGCATGGCGGGAAAGGTTGCCTGTGGAATTCATCCCATTTTTCACACTCTGCAGATTTAAAGCTTGGAGGTTGAGCTCTTGGTTGGAAGCTGGGTGGTTGTTGCCAGAGCCGGCGGGGGGCTTGCTGCCATTGTGCAAGTTCTGGGCGCCAGCACCGTACCCTGTTTTCTGCTCCCCCAACGCGCTGCTGCTGCCAGGCCTCTTTGTCACCTTGGAGCCTTGCACGGTCAACTCCAGATCCCCGCCGGCTTTCTGGTTTTTCAGTTTTAAATCAAGCCCCAGGCCACTCTTGCAGGACATGGCCGACTTGAGCGTCAGCCTCCCCACAGCAGAGGCATCTGCTGAGTTCTGGTTCTGCGACATCCTGCTCATATAATGTACGATGGAGCTCTGCCAGCTGATGCCGCAGTTGGGGCTCCCAGACGAGGTGCTTTTCACAATACTGGAGAGGTTGTCGGTGGTGGAAGCCCCGGAACAGAACCCACCAAATGCACCTTGGGCTTCCTTCATGTGGGATTTAAGCATGGCAATGCCAGAACTCTGAGCGTTGTGCTGCGGCTGCATCTTGCTCATTAGTTTGGGGGCTCCTCCACCGCCTCCCATCTCCTTTTGGTTTGTTTTCAGCACCTTTGTCAGGTTGACAGTCCTCTTCGCTGCCTTCTGCTCCGGAGGCAGAGGCTTCCGCCCACGCTTCTTCCTAATAGGGTCCTTATTCTCAGGTTTGGCAACCAGGATCTGAGCTTTCTTTTGAGGCACTGGGTGGCTCTCTCTGCTCCGCTGACCTCTTTTCGTCTCAAGGTCACTTTCATCCTCTTCATCGGAGGAGGAAGATGAGGAGGAGCTTGAGGAAGAAGAGCTGCTGGATTTGCTTTTTGCAGGCACCTCCGGTTCCTTTAAAAACAAAGTAACACACACATGCAAAGAGTAGGAGCGACATTAATATGCTCTGCTTCTTCAGTACAGTGGTACCTCAGGTTAAGTACTTAATTCATTCTGGAGGTCCGTTCTTAACCTGAAACTGTTCTTAACCTGAAGCACCACTTTAGCTAATGGGGCCTCCCGCTGCCGCCATGCAATTTCTGTTCTCATCCTGAAGCAAAGTTCTTAACCCGAGGTACTATTTCTGGGTTAGCGGAGTCTGTAACCTGAAGCATATGTAACCCGAGGTACCACTGTAATACTGTCAGTGAAGGTTTTTGAAGGGCTGCTGCATGGAAAGTCCATCAAAGCAGAGAGATCTACTCTATTACAAAACATTTTTAAAGCCCTAGTAACTTCCTGTTATTACAAAAAAAACCCCATCTGGTTCTCTCTTGTGGCACGCTGATACTTAAGATCACGCAGCCTTACACAAAACTTTTAAGTAAGGTTCTAATAATAAGAATATGCTACCTGGACAACTATTTAATTTTCAGAACTCAGAAAACTATTTCCACTTTCCCTGGCTTCAAAAAGGAAATGTTTCTGGATACAGGCATTATTTAGTTTCCTGATTGCCCCTGGAGAATAAAAACTGACTCCAGGTGACGGGCACACACAACCAGCTGTGGGATAAAGCCACAGACTGCACAAGACACACTTCCTAACAGAGGCACATGAAGTATGTCTTTATGCAAGCAAGCATGTGTCCCGTCCCCACCCCAACAGTCTGCTGTACTAAACATCCATTTCTAGCTACCTCCCAGAAATCACCATTACTTACAACGTTCTTCCTGGGTCTGCCTCTAGGTCGTTTGCCCCTCTTCCGATTTTGCACCTCCTTCTCATGCTCCCTGAAAAGACAACAAAATGACAGTGCAGTTCTCAAAGTCTCTCTTCTCGCAGAAGATTCCATGGGTGAATAAAGACCACCGGTTTACCATTCTGAGAAATGTAGGAAAGTATATCCGTTTTTCAAGTAAATGCCAGAATTTGACAATGCAGATGACCCTGCCTAGTTCTACAGTATTCCATGGCTGGTGTTCTGCCATCCCTAGCTTTTTGACCTGTTTCGTTGCTAAGCAGTAAAAGACATTTGCCCTACCCATCCCTCTGTACATTACTGCTATTTGCTACTTTTTCCTGGTTCTATGTGTGCGGATGTAGATGATATATTTTGGTTTTGTTATCTCAAAAGTTTAATGGCACTGTTCCAAAGAGATCAAAAACGTATTTTTTTCTTCTCTCTGGAGTTGCTCTCTTAGGAAAAAATACTGGTGTTTTACAAATTAGACTGATTCTTTTTAAGCCTTGAGATGGTCTATTGTACATGCAATTTAATATTATCCATTTGCATTCTGTATACATGAATTTTTAGTAGTTTATGATTTGTGCATTTGTGTACAACTCACACATGTAACAGGGACGCGGGTGGCACTGTGGGTTAAACCATAGAGCCTAGGATTTGCTGATCAGAAGGTCGGCGGTTTGAATCCCTGCAACGGGGTGAGCTTCCGTTGCTCGGTCCCTGCTCCTGCCAACCTAGCAGTTTGGCAGCACACCAAAAAGTGCAAGTAGATAAATAGGTACCGCTCCGGCGGGAAGGTAAACGGCATTTCCGTGTGCTGCTCTGGTTCGCCAGAAGCGGCTTAGTCATGCTGGCCACATGACCCGGAAGCTGTACGCCGGCACCCTCGGCCAATAAAGCGAGATGAGCGCCGCAACCCCAGAGTCGGCCACGATTGGACCTAATGGTCAGGGGTCCCTTTACCTTTACCTTTTACACACATGTAAACAGGACTATGGTTACAGAGATATTAGTTTTTCATTGAAGAAAAATACTTAAATGCCAAAGCAGAAGTATTTTTTAAAAATGCATTAAACCTGGATGTACTGTACTTCTTTCTTTTGTAGTACACAAGCAACACTAGAAATGGAAATCTGAACATGAAAACTGAAGGTGACAAAGCAGCAGGGAAAATAAGGTGTCCTTAAAAGAGATGACTCACACAAAATTCTATAGCTGGGGAAATATTTCCCCACTAATCACTAGCAACTGATTATTAATACCAATGACTATCCAACCAGAGGAAATGTGGGGAAGCATTGCTATAAGAACACAAGACAAGCCTGCTATTTTGTAAAGCTCTCCCGCCCTGCATACACATGAGAATGTGGTAGAACCTGATGATATACCATATATTTACATTAATACAGCTGAACCACCATGCAGTGGAAACTTTACGTGGCAAGTAATTTGTTTGTATTCAACTCACATCACGTATTATCTACTACATCAAGTGTATGTTATTTCATTTCACATATGTGGTCTTCATATATCCCCAAACATTTGGATTTTTGGTTCTATTCCACCAACAGAGCAACACAAGAGTTGTAACAAACCGAGATCAGAGATAAGCCACTACTATACTGATGGAATAGTCAACACATCCAATGTGTACCCAGACCAAGAGTGAATAAACACACACCTAGAAAACAATAAATGAAAAGCAGCAAGAAAAATGGCAAGTATGCCCTAGAGTAGCCCTGGAAAAAACACCGCAGCCCATGCAACCAGGGACTGTGCCAATGCCTACATGCTGCACACACAGAGAGGCAATGGACTCACAACAGGGACACTACCATGCTGAGTCACCACATGCAAGAAAACGCAAGGCATTGCAACTTTGCCCCCAAATCCACCAGCTTCAGTGGCTCAGTCTGTAGCACATGGAGCATAATAAACAAAGCGGTGGGAGGAGAACTTGCACAAGATCTTGGCATAGCTGCCATGGAACTTGCAAGGCGAAATGCACCTGCCCAGAGCAAATCATTTTAACAACCCTACAGAGCAGTCTTCCTAAACCAGTTGCCCTCCAGATGTTCTGGACTACAAGTCCCATCAGCCTCATCTAGCAGGGCCGTCTGTCTGGGACATGGAAGTCCATCCACGTGTGGAGGGCACTAGGTTGAGGAAGGCTGCTATGAAGGAACAGCTGTGTGCAGCTTAGTCACTGCTGTTGGTCATGAGTTGGGCCTCCCTTCTGGCTTATGCGGAACAGGGTGTGGAGTAGACCCTGTGGTTGTGTGTAAACAGCTTGTAGGGAACGAGGGGAGATGCAGACTGAGAGAAACTAGCAATGGGTAGCATTTGCAGCACATAGTTCCTATTACTGGATGCACAGTAGTGAGTGGTGCCACCCAGATGCTCTTCCAATGCTCAATGTGATCGGTGTGGGGAAGGGAGGTGAGAGACTGCATTGATGGAGTATATCACCTCCTTCCCCCAAACCAGGAGTTGTAGCGGAACACTGTGCACACAGTGGCTGTTTGCCATGCTTCCTGCAACCAGGCTGTGACCTTCCCTGCTCAAGATCAAAGAGGACTCAAGCACCTGGCCTGTGGTGGCAATGGTTGGAGTGGGATGCCTGGGCTCTGACAACAGAGGGCATGCCTTCATTTTAAAAGGCGAGTGTATTCCCCTTTGTGTAGGAGACACTTCTTCCTGTTCTGGGAGTGGGGGAACAACAAGATAGTTCAGCCAAAACACAGCACGGCATTCACATCTAGCAAAGAGGCAGCAGGGCAGAGAGATGGGAAACAGCTGTAGCAACTACACATTACAGCACATACTCCTCCTTCCTTTGTTTACCTGTGTGGGGTTTTCTGCCCAGGTACAAGCAGCCATGGGAGTGGAGTTGTGTGCTTGCGACCAGGTACCTGTTTGCTCTAGCCTGTGACACTCAATGTGCTCAACTTCCTGTGTGTGCTTGTGTGTTTTGTGACCAGGCTGCTCTGTGAAAAGTGCTCCATTTATGCACAGAGTGCCCTTTCCCCACAGCTTCCCATTGCAAGAGTTGCCTCTTCTGAACAATGCCCGTGGAGCCAGAGAAGTTATATTCATCCTGTGTTGGATTTTTATTATCTGGGGGAGGTGCGCTGTGATTGGGTAGTAACATATACATCATAGGTAAAGGTACCCCTGCCCGTACGGGCCAGTCTTGACAGACTCTAGGGTTGTGCGCCCATCTCACTTAAGAGGCCGGGGGCCAGCGCTGTCCGGAGACACTTCCGGGTCACGTGGCCAGCGTGACAAGCTGCATCTGGCGAGCCAGCGCAGCACACGGAACGCCGTTTACCTTCCCGCCAGTAAGCGGTCCCTATTTATCTACTTGCACCCGGGGGTGCTTTCGAACTGCTAGGTTGGCAGGTGCTGGGACCGAGCAACGGGAGCGCACCCCGCCGCGGGGATTCGAACCGCCGACCTTTCGATCGGCAAGCCCTAGGTGCTGAGGCTTTTACCCACAGCGCCACCCGCGTCCTGCAACATATACATCATACCCTATGGCTATTTTTATTTTATTTTATTCCCCATTTAAGTCAACAGAAGGAGAAATGATCTGCAACAGCTTTAACACTTGTGTAATGTCATTCTGCAAGTGGGGGTGTAGCTATAGATGAAAGAGATATAGAATCTGTCCCCCATCCTATTTCGGCTGCTCCATCTGTTCCTTTTGCTGACAGAATGGCTGTGCTGTGCTGGGAGGTATAGAAAGGGCTTCTGACAAATCTTAAAGACCCTTAAGCTAGTGTTAACTCTAGCACAGGATTGCACCCTCGGTGACCAATGCACTACTATTATTTCCTTTAGCTGCTTCATTTCATTTTCCAGCAAGCACACACCCACACATTCTCCACCCCAAATTATATCTTCTGGTCACAAAAATCGTCCAAAGTGGGGAGAATCAGAGTACTTAGCTCAAGATTATTCCTTTCAACAGAGACCAGATACCCACAAGGAAGGTACACCACCAACACCCTTACGGTTGAAAGCACATTGTCCCTGAACACAAAGATCCAATTTCAAGTTATTTTACTGCTAGTACCCACCTTCTGTGAACCTACCTACTTTTTTTTTAAAGCTATTCAGGGCAGAGACCATCACAAGGCAACATATTCTATGAAAGCCCTCCCCTTTCACAGTTGCAGCCTATCAGCTTCATGATTTTCATTTTAAGAACGAATCATCTTTGACATTCATTATTTCCGTGCTACTCATGACATTCAAACCTCTATCATGCCCTTATCTTAGTAATATTGATTCAGATGATTAAATGATGGGGGTGCATAGTCTTCAAGAGAATAGCTCAAATCTACAGATCATTTTAGTTAATACCCACCCTGCCCCTGTTACTTTCTCCAGTTGTGCATTGGGGGTGAAACAAGAACTCCTCTCATTTTTTCTAAATGCAACCAGAGAGGCTCCATGGATACTACCTGCATGGGTAGGATGAACAGGTGAAAGAGAGAAACGGGCACCAGCACCTTGATCAGTTATGCTGAAAAAAGAAATTTCAGCAGGTGTTGCTGGAACAGGGTAGGGGACCAGGAGAGCTGCTTAGCCTCAAGCCACAGATATATATATTTTTAAGGATGCATGTGAAAACACATGTGGAGCCACTACAGCTGCTGGGACTCAGCATATGTACTCCGAAAGCTGCTCAAGCTACCAAACAGAACTGCAAATATTTCTGTGGCTAGAGGAGGTTTGCAAGGTGGTTGGCTAGTCGAAACTGTTTGTTGTTACTGCAGAGTGAAGGAGGGCAAATAGTATGTTAGGTCCCCGACTCCCACCACCAAAGACTAAGGCAGAAATCACCATGCAGCAGCTATTGGTGGTTTCACCTAGTGAATTTCCTCACCATTTGCCCCAATGGTTAAGACAGTCTGCCCAAATATAAAGACCTTGGACTTAAGCCTGTCCAAATGAATAAACAAAGTTTGCCTACTGTTCTGTTACCCAATCACTCATGTATGGAGAATTCCTTCAGGAACTCTTTGCAGTCTGCTTTAGATTTGACTATCGTAAGTTTTAGGCATTCTTAATTCTACAACTACAAACTGAAAACCCAAGAACAACACGGAACATCGCAAGTTGGAGACTTTTGAGCAAGGTAAGGGGGTTACAATATTTTCTTAACAGTTAGTAGAAATTGTTTCCTGTGTTTTGTCAGACATCTTTTCTAATTTTAGGTTGGGATTAATTTAATTGTATTTTTAAATTATATTATTATTTGCTATCCTATAAAACAAACTGTCAGAAAAAAGTGGCTACTATAAGGCATTTGGAAGGAGAGTGCCAGCAATTTGAGACTGCACTACTATTGCCAAAAGCCAACCTATTTTGCTTCTCAAAGTTTCTCTTTTGTGAGTTTGGACATACAATGCGTCCCACTAGCAACAGACTGGAGCTGAAACATACAAATACTTTACAAGCCATCAAGTTTAAGGACTTTTTTTTGCATGGTGCTGCCCTCTCATGCTACTTACATATGGGTGTTGTTTACGCAGCACAGCAAGTGGGAGAGAGACTTTCAAATGAAGCCTACAGTGTAGCCTAAAACATGCAGTACAGAAGCAGGAAAAGCAAGCTACAGATTTAAGCCTTGTTTGCAAACATCCCTCCCACAACAAGACGTGACTTTTCGAGTCTACCGAGACCACTAAACACACCAGGGCATTAAAACACTTTATATTTAGGTACCAAGGAAAGGCTGCCTTGAGTACTGCAATTTAGGGGGAACAATGAATACACAATGGTCTACTCTGTATTCTGTTTCCATAATCCCAGCTGGACAGCCTAGAGGAACCCTCCTTCCCTCCCTCCCTGCCTCTCAGTTTGTGGCTTACTCACTTCTTCTGAAAGGCCAGGAGCAGCCTAGGATCAAGAATATTCTCTTCGGGTTCCCAGCTGTTATGCCTGGAAAAGAGTAACCAGTCACAGTAAACACAACCTTCTTTTTATAAAACAAGTAGTTAACAACAGGCAAATGTCTACTGTTTTTTATTTTTTAACTTTTGAGATAAAGCATGCCCATTTTATCAAAGATACCACCACACCCTAGAGTCTAGTAGAAGTACCGTTTCATTACAATAACCCTCAGAAATGCTACAGCCCTAGCCGTACACAACCATCACACTGGCAGATTTAAAACTGAACGTGGCTATGCTCTTAGAGTGAATTGAAAAAAATAATTGATTGGGAAGGTGGGAATGTTTTTTTTTTTTTGAACTGTGGGTCGTTAAGTGGGGTGAGAATTTAGCAGCACATGACAGGGTAGGTTCAATTTCCATAATGGAAAGGAGAGGAGAGCAGAAAAAGGAGTATTCGCTTGGCAAAGGGGAAACCTCAGGTGGATTATGAATAACTTGAGAACACACACACACACACGTGTGTGTGCTAAGGGAGTAAAATGAGAAATCAAGCAAGAAAAGGATGAAAGCAAACGGGGGTGGGGTGGGGTGGGGGTGGGGGGAAGCCTGGTTTGCAGGCGCAGCTGGCAGGAGGAGTAAACAGAGATGGTAGCCTCTTAGGTTGACAACCCTTCTCCCCAGTCTATGAGGTGGGGGTGGGGGGGGAGAAGGGAGAACACACCACATGCATCAGTTGATATCTCAGGTTTCAGAAGAGAATCCATAGACAACATGGGAAGCAGTTGCAGCTTCTCTGCTGGAGCCTGGGGAATCCTAACAGCTCCCTCAGATCCTCTCCTCCGGTTCCAACCCCCTGCCCCCCCCCCACTACAAAAAGGGGTAGTGAAGGCGACCCATGGCATCTGGCCGTGGTTTGATTTGGCAGAGTTAACATATAACACAGGGAGAGAAGAAGTGAACAAAACCAAGGAGGTGCTGGAGAGAGAGAGAAGCTAAGGCACCATTTATGGGTAAACAAAAGAAAGTCCAGCAGGAGGAAAGGATGCCCTCCCACCCACCTCCCCGATTCTGGGGTAGGAAGGCTGGAGCCTCGCAGGGGGAAAACAACAAAAAACTAAAGTAACTTCCAAGCGTCTGGAAGCACCGACCCGGGGGTGGTGTGGGGCAAGCGCCTCGGAGCCCCGTTTCTCCCTCTCGCTCTTTGCGCCCCCCTCCCCTCCCCGCCCCAAACTCAGGGGTCGCCTGGGCCCAGCATCTCCCCGCGCTCAAGCCCCGCCCCTGGACCCCCTTCAGCTCAACGGCTGGCTGGCGCTCAGCTGCTGCCTTCATTGTCCGGACTCACTTGGAAGACCAGCCTCTCCACTTCACCAAATACTCCAGCTTGCCCTGAGGAGGAGAGAAAGGAAGAAAAGAAGGCGCGGGTTAGAGCCAGAGGCGACGCTGAGGAGGCTGCTGCTCCCCGCCGGCTTGCCCGCTCCCTCGCCCGCCCGCCTGCCCACCTTGCGGAGCCGCTTGCTGAGGATGCACTCGGCGGCGAAGACCTGCTCTCCCACGCTGCTCAGCTCCTCCATGGCGCCGGCTGGCTCGGCTCGGGCTGCCGCCTGCTTCTCCCCCTCCGCTGCTTTGCTCGTAGCGGAGCCAGCGTTGTGCCGAGTACAACAAGGCGAGGGGGGCCCCGGGAGCGCGCGCTGCTGCTTCTCCTCCTCCTTCTCCGCCGTCCTCCCTCGACTAGCAGGGCACGCGCGCGCTTCCCTCCGCCGCCAGCGCCTCACTGCCCGCTCGCCTTGGCTCCTTGGCGCACACAATGCAACGCGCGCGCAGCGGGCTCCGCCTCCCCACGCCCAGCTCAGGGGCTCCCCAAATTCCCAGCGAGCCAATGAGGAGCGGGGAAGGCGGGGCCTAAGCTGCTTCTGGCGGAGGGAAGGAGCCAAGCGGCCGGCGCTATTGTCTCACGCGGCGTTTTCCTATCCCTCCTCTGGGGATCGGACAGTTGGATCACAGCGCGCGGGTGGCTGGTTCCTGGAGTTTAATTCCTTGGAGGAAATAAGGCAAACGCTTCGGACAGATTTTCTTTCTTTTACTGCACCGTCCCCGGCGGACACGCTCAAGTCAGTCCCGAATAAGCGCCGGCGGCGAGGACTTCCAGGGAACTTGGTCTGAAGTTGGCCTTCGTTTTGGGCCGGCGCTGCTGCGAGCAGAGCTTTCCTCGCCAGCACCTCGTCGTCTTCCAGAGGGGGCCGGAGTGGGGAGGCCGGCGTGTGAATCCCGAGGGCACCGCATGGATCGGTTTGTATCCCCGGAAAAGGGTCTCCATCGTGACAGCCCCCTTCCTCTTTGCACAAGTCAGCCGGACCGTATCGAATTGGAAGGACAGCTGGCACCCGCCGACAAATCGTCACATAAATGGAGTTACAATGGTTTTATTTAACTGTTGCATTAATAAATTTGTAAATACAAAGCAGCCCCCTCCTACCATATTTTTTTTTAAAACACCCTTCCGCATTTGGATTGAATATTTGAAAAACAGAGGTGGAAAAGGAGACCAAACTTTAGTTCGTTTGTATCCCATAAATGGCGTTGTGAGGTGCAGTGCAATACTCAGAAGTAAGTCCCATTGAGTTCAGTTGGAGTTACCTCGGGGTAACAGCGCATAGGATTGCAGCTGAAGCAAGTGAGCTTTGAGGCAGAAATTAGACCTCATTCCTGTGAGCTTTTGGGGTGATCTTACAACATGTCTCTTAGGACATGTCATCCCCATTCTGCAGTATGGGAATAAAGATGCAGACCGTCCTTACAGGACTGTTGCAAAGATTATCAAGGTGATGTCAGGGAAGCTGTTGGAAGATCCTAACAAGAAGCACTATACAAATGGGAATGGTGCTATGGTGTCAGGAGGACACTTGAAAGTAATGTGATATTTAGTCCCTTCGTTTTAACACTAAAGGATCCCCCTCCTCTGTATTCTGTCAGTCAGTTCATTGTGGTGTTTGCCTCATAAGTAAAGAGACATTTACACAACCCGAGTTTTAGTAAGATTTATCCCCACAGTGCCTGGGGAAACCCAGCCAGATTTACTTTATAAATAAAGTAAAAAAAAATTCCAAAACATCACAGCTCTACAGAACAGATTTCCCTTCCATGAGGCACCATAGCCCTGTAGGGCCTTGATTTGAGATGTTGATTGCTTGGAAAGTAATGCTAGAAAAAGACAAAATTTCAGCCACAGGAGGGAGTAGAAATGGGAGGGAAGGTCCACAGGGAAGGAGGAATTAGGTCTTTTGTAAATAACGATATGCTGTCTGACTGCAAAGAAAATATTCTTCCTGACAAGTGCCCTTTTTGAGCTTTTGGAGGAGCACACCTCAGGTAATCTTTACCCTGTGCTTTGGGAGGGGGGGGGGTAGGGAGAGAGCATCCCAGCCCAGAGAGAACTGGAGGTGGCAAAGAACCTCATCCCTCTGAAGCTCAGAAAAAAAAAGGAAGGTTGGAGAGAGAAGAGGCCATGTCTCTGGATGAATTAAGCAGACAACTGCTTTGGGCAATGCATAATGAGCAACTTCAAAGGAAATATATATTCTGCCACCTCCTGAGAAGTGGGGTGCGTTGGGGGTGGAAATCATGAGCAAGTACTTCAGTGGCCTGGCCCTGCCTTCCAGTTACCCTCATTAAGTGAATTTTAGCTGGAGCTGAATTCACGGCAGGCAGATCTGACTATTACTATTAGACATGAGATTAAGTGGAACTCCCATGTGCGGAGACAATTTAACATTGGAGCTGAATGCTGGGGACAAAACAGCAGGAGAAGGCTGTTGCCCCGTACCTTGCTTTGTAACTTCATAGAGGCATCTTGTTGCCATCTTGGGGTATTTGCCAAGTGAGCACAAGGGCAGGGCCTTCTCTGTGGTGGTGCTGCGGTTGTGCAACATCATCCCAATTATTTTTGCATTTCAGTTATTCTTGCAAGTAGCATTAACACCACCAACGTATTGTTACATGCATCCCAAGCCAGGGCCGTAGCTAAAGGGCGGCGGCAGCGGCAGGTGCTAGCTGAGGTCTCTCTAGAGGGGTGCCACTGAGGCTCCCAGCTTGCGGGGAAGGGGGAGCAGAAAAAACGGGGGGGGGGTCAATCCTCCTTCCCCTTTCTCCCTTTCTCCCTTACTGTCTTTGGAACTGTGTGTGAAAGAGAAATCCCGGAGAAGGCTGCTCTCCAAGCAAAGTTGAAAAGTGGAAGTTTTGTTGCTTTCTTCTTTTGTTTTCCTCAGCATCTCAGAGATCAATTAAAAGTGGTAAAGAGATCAGAACACCACCTCCTACCCTTTTTGGAAACAGAAGCACTTTGGAGTATTGCTTGCTTATGTGTTCTCTCTCTGTGTGTATATTTGGATCTAAAGGACAACATGTATGTTTATACCATGTGCATACATAAAGAGCTATAAAAACCACAGACTTGGAGGGAACCCAAATATATCATCCAAATCACACCCTACTCCCATCTTATAATTCTTTAAAATGTCACCAGGATCTTTCCCATCAGGCAGTTGGTGGTAGAATGGCCCAGGTAGGGTAGTCCAGGTGCAACACGCTCTGGGGTCTTCCTTGCCTTCCTCCATCTCTCTACTAAGAACCTTCCCACAGAGGAGTTGATGTTAACCCCTGTTGGAGACTTGATGCTGGATTAAATGGACCTTGCCTGAACTTTCTCATCCTAGATGAACCTGGCCTAATTTTTTGCTCAGGGAAATATGAATAGTTCCATCTTTGAAAATTCTAAAGGAACAACTTTAAAGTATTTCCATTTCAGCCTGCTTTTAATTAATTATTTTTTTGCTTTCATTAAATTCTAAGAGGGGCGTAACATAGTTTTAGGTGGATGATTATTAGGTTGGCTCAATAATAATATTATAATAATTTATTATTTATACCCCGCCCATCTGGCTGTGTTTCCCCAGCTGCTCTAGGCAGCTCCCGACAGAACACTAAAAACACGATAAAAGATCAAACATTAAAAACTTCCCTAAACAGGGCTGCTTTCAGATGTCTTCTAAAAGTCAAATAGTTGTTTATTTCCTTGACATCTGATGGGAGGGTGTTCCACAGGGCTGGTGTCACTACCAAGAAGGCCCTCTGCCTGGTTCATTAGTATTTTACGAAATTTTGTCCACTTAAAGAGAGGATATGGTGCCCTAAAACCATGTATATAAAACCAGGCCAAATGAACAGACGCTTAAGGATGATGTAAATAAAGGATTGCAAAATAAAAGTTTGTGACTTGCAATTCAGATGAGTGGAAAAGAGGAAACTTTCAAACACATGAGCTAAGATACTTTTCTTCTTCTTCTTCTGCCAGTGCTGACTCTTAACAGGGCACATGCAAGAGAGGATGATCCAGTTCACTATCATCATTTGTGCCTCTGGATAGCAGATTTGTCAATGGTACCAGTGTTAGAACATAATAAGGCAAGTGTCATTGGGGATTCAGCATTCCATGCTGAACATTGGCACCAGCTGCTCATGAATGTGATCAAATCTACAGTCTATTCAAACATACATGGGCCCAATGTATAGGAGGCAGGCAGAGAGCAATTCAGCCCAATCCTATGCATGTTTACTCAGAGGTAAATTCAATAGAGCTAACCTCCAACTAAGTGCACATAGGGTTGCTGCCTTAATGATTGATGCCTTGAGCACTGCCTCTTGATTAGTTATGTAAAGGTTTATACTACACTTTGACTTTTCTGGAAAAAAGAAGATGTAAAAAATGTCAGCATCAGGACAGTCTTTAGCGATGGGGGAAGGACAGGTTGCTTTTGTCTGAGCTTACCGCTTGCAAAGTTCTTTTAAAAATTAGTCCATGAAAGCTTATAATAAATTTGTTAGTCTTTAAGAAGCCACCAAACATTATGTTGTTCAGTAATGCAAACAGTGTAGTTCTAAGTGACTTAAGGCTTATACAAACTTAAACCAGAGCTTTTGGATTCCTAAAGCCAAAACAAAACAAAAACTCCAGAATCCTGAAAATTAGTTCTGTTGTATTGTATGTGTTTTAAAACACAAATGGCAAACATCACACAGTGGTGAGGAGGGCATGGTGTGTGTTTTTTGGCAGGAATTTGAAGAAGCGAAGACTTTGGGGTTAGGAGAGACTGTCTAAAGTTGGAGTATGTGAGAGCACATTCAGGGCATGAATGGGGGTTTCTTCTTAAGATTTAAAAATGGTGCTATCTTACTATGAATGAATTGTTATTAAACTTTTTTATGCTTCTGCTCACAACACTTTCTTTTTAGCTGTAGTTGGCAACGCTCTTTCTTTGAAACATCTCTGGGTGTCTTCAGTTGAACATGTCAGTATAAACTGGTTTTATTTCCAAATAAGCACTGGTCTGTTCCTTCTTTTTTGTAAAGCATACTTGAATTGCCGAATTGATCAGTTTCTAATCGTACGCAGGGCCTTCAACGGTAACTCTTCCTTCTCCACTCCTTGTAATTTAGAACCCAAGCTGTGTCACTGGATTATACATTATTGACACTCCTTCTTTCCACTCCCAGGAGTCTCTGGGGGAAAGTCACACGCTTCAGATGTATGGTGTGTATGGAACCTTAAATGCTACTACAGTTGTACCTCGGGTTAAGTACTTAATTCATTCTTAACCTGAAACTGTTCTTAACCTGAAGCACCACTTTAGCTAATGGGGCCTCCTGCTGCCACCGCGCTGCCGGAGCACGATTTCTGTTCTTATCCTGAAGCAAAGTTCTTAACCTGAAGCACTATTTCTGGGTTAGCGGAGTCTGTAACCTGAAGC